GTCTTTAACATTTAACTTCAAAACCAAAAGGTCTCAGGTCCTTCCAATATAGGGATTCCTTTGTCAACAGAATTTGTTAGGACTTGCACTTTCAAAGCACTAATTAGGCTAAATACTCCATTCAATGCTGTACTTTAAATTTGCCTTTAATATCTTGACAGGAACAGGCATACTGTTTCTATGCGCTTCCCTCAGTGAAACAGGCTGTTACCTTCAGGGGCTTCACTATATGGTCAGTTTTCTTCAAACATCTATCTAACATGTTCATTTTGTTTGATGTCCCCTACATTTAAACTTTGAGAGACAGAAGTACACTGAAGCAAGTAATATTTGCCAGCAATTAGCTCTATGACAGCTGTAGTACACCAGAGGTTCTCCACCTTTTTCTTTCTAAGCCACCCCCCCCCCATGCTATAAAACCTCCACAGCCCAGCTGTGCTACAACAACTGTTTTGCTGCATATAAAAGCCAAGACGGGCGTTAGGGGGTAGAAAACAAGGCAATTGCCCAGGGCCTTACACCACAGGGGGCCCCGTCACGCTAAGTTGCTCGGGCTTTGGCTTCAGCCCCGGGCGATACGGCTCATGGCCCCGGGCTGCAATCCTGTACGGTGGGGCTTTGGCTTTCTGCCCTGGGCCCTAGTGAGTCTAACACCGGTCATGCTTGGAGGACCCCCTGAAACCAGCTCACGGCCCCCCAGGGGGCCCCGGACCCCTGGCTGAGAACCACTGGGGAGGACAGTAGCACTGTAGATGCAGGGAAAGCTTCAGCATCTGCATTAACTACATGGACCTTGAAGAAGTCTGGGTTGTCACTCTTGCTCTTTGGCATTATTCCAGAACCAGATAAAGTCCATGTTTACATGCTTCCAGACCACACAAAAGACATGTGCATGCACACACATGCACATATGTGCAAAAAGAATAGCAGAAAAAGAAGGAACAGCAAAGAAACCTATAAGAGCGGCACAGTTTAGGCTCCCTCTTATTTACTTATCTTTTAAAAATCCAATTGTATACCTGCTGCCCAGTCTAAAGTCCTGAAACAGCTCCTCTTCTTGGGAAAAGCTGATTTAACTGCCCCACCCGCCTCTCTCTGTCTCATGCTCATGCACCACACGCACACAGAGAATGATTTTCCACTTGTTCAGATGAACTCAAACTTAGGTCTCATCTACATTTTAAATTTAGGTCAACATAGCTACGTTGATCAGGGTGTGTGAAAAATCCGCACCCGAGTGACATAGGTCTGCCAACCTAATCCCCAGTGTAGACAAAACAAGGTCAATAGAAGAATGTTTCCATAGACCTAGCTCAGAAAAGTGGTGTTCCTACACAGACAGAAAACCCGTCCATCACTGTATGCTTTGTCTACCCTACAGAGTTATGCCAGCATACCCCTAGGGTATAGTCCTTAGAGAGTAAACATATCTTGAATTACTGCATGCCAAGAAAACAAGGCCAGCACAAAATCAACCTGAGAGACACTATATCACTAGTACTGTAGATAAATCCCCTTAGGTAGAAAAAGGCCCTTGCAGCCTGGCAAGGCTTGCTAGTACCTGTGCATTCCGATATTCAGCCACACACCCAACCCAGAAAACCAGCAGATCTCATTTCCAGGAACAAAGCAGCTGACAATCCAAAAGCAAAAAAAACCCAAACACAGAGCAGAAATGGTGTACAAGAAAGCAGAGCCATTTTGGATTCTAGCACATGCACATCCCCATCATGAAAGCTGTTAAACTCAAGCATTTTAACTGGCTAGTAGAAGCATGTAAGAACCTCTCCTGCCTATATGTACACAATGATCTCCATTTTTAATCTGATAAAGTTCCTCCTCAACCCGCTGCACATAATCTACTCCAGACTTGTGCCAATTTGAGGCCAAAGATAACTTTCACTGGGGAGATGTCTGAGCACGAGATTTCTAAAAGGAACAATAGTAACAGACACTTAACTATAGCAGGTCTTCAGGTCAACTAATATCAATCTTTTCTCCACTTTTAAAGCAAGCATTTAAAACACTAGTTTGAGAGAACTGTCTATTCATGACAAGCAAAAGGTGATAATTGTTGCTCTGACCCACCAAAATGACACACATGCCATATTTACAAAGAGAGGCATTTCAAGTGAAAAAGAGACAAACTAGTTTAATTTCATTGAAATCCACTGCATGAGAAGGTCTTTTCAAAGAGAGAGAGAGAGAGAGAGAGAGAGGAAAAATTAAAAATACTTTGCTAAACACTATGGTCTCTCTTCCTTAAATAGGGTCAGCAGGTATGCATGAGTAAGAGGGTGAAGTAAGTCAGCCAATTATTATGCTGAAGAAAGTGATGTTCTTGTTATGGGAACCATCACAAAGAAAATCAGAATTGGTTTGCAAATATTGGCACATCCTTATACTGCAGAAAAATCAGACTAGTATGACAAGTAAACTATGTAATGCAAGAGAATGCTTGAATTTCTATGGTGCATTGCTATTTTACCTGGTAACTGTATTGAGCTTTTCCTCTCGGAGCGCACATTTCAGTCCAGCTAGTTACCCAAATTGAAACATTAGATGGCTTATCCTTTAGTCAGTCTATACCTAGACATACAATTAAGTCTTTTAGTCTGTGCACAGATGATACACATAACCATCAGATAGGCTTAGTGGCCTCTCCTCCTTAAGAGTACTAGTTTGTCTTTGTTGTTTTAGTACAAAGTTGAGGGCTCTAACAAAACAATGTTTAGGAAAAGCCACACTGCATTTAGCTATATGTAGTGTAGCTAGAATGTCATAAATAAAAATAGCTCCATTTTCAGCACAGTCAGTCAATCTGTAGCCTAAAACATGTATTAAGATAGAACGATAAATAACTGCCATACATAAACTTCAATGTATACAGACCTTTTTCCAGTTACAATAATCTTAAATATAATAATAGTGAGGGGGAGGATCTACATTATCTGTGAATTGTTCTATGCATGGCTCCATAAAACCGAACGCTCTTTTAATACTTAACAGTGGACATTGCACTTAGGCAGTCACAAGTGACACACTGGTTGCAGTCATATGGCTGTGGTCACAGACACAAAAGAGCTCAATACAGCCATTAGACAAAAAAAAGTTGTAACTAATTTTGAAAGGCATGTAGCTACTGGCAAGAAGAAACGATTGCTGAAATGTTAAGAACCAAAATTGAAACTTTTCATATCTGTGCTCTTGTTAACAATCATCATTTAAGCCTGAGAACACAGCCTACAATAAAAATTCTTTACACTTCCCCATTTGTTCTCAATTTTTCATTTTAACAGAAAAATGAATCTTTAAATCCCACTGAGAATGGATATGCAAATATTATAAAGGACAAGTTATCTAAAGACATAAACAGAGCTGTGTTAAAAGATTCTCCCCTGGCAGCAAGATCAGCGAAAATAAAATCATTTTTTGTAATCACATTTCAAAGTTTTCCTGGTTTATGTCAAAATGAAAGGCAAGTCTTTGCACAAACTGCCCCAGTGACATTTTGAAGCGTTCATGGTGAAAAAGCTGTGTTTCCCAGGGAACAATTAAAAAAGTATGCACTGTACCAAATTTCTGAACTTAAAAAAAATCCGTTTTCATACTTGAATATTCAAACACTAATATTTTGCAACACTAATGGGAAAAAAAAATCCTACTTGCCCAAAGTAGAGCTGCAGCCATTCACAAACCACTAGTTTTACCAGAGTTTGAAGTATTAATTTCAACTACTTACTTTTATAATGAACTAGCTCTGAAAAAGGTAATTGGCTAATTTAAAATATTGTGTGTTTTCTCACTTTTTTCCTTCTTATATATGGTATTTTGCTTTTCTACCTGGTGTCAGTCTGTTCTCCGGGAGCATTCTTGTATGCCGGAAGCTGGAATTTTTGGAGGGTTGTTTAGATCTGCTTTGTGTAGCTTTATATGACAAAGCTCGAACTAATACTGAAATGTTTTTAATAATTGGATGCTTTCTACCCACCAAACACTTTATAAGGCAACTGCCTGTTCTGTATCAAAACACAAGGGATTTCATAATGAGGGACTTAAGAAGCTCTGGGGAAACAGGAATAGGTAGTTTTACCTTAGTAAGGTGAAATAAAATGAAAACATTTACACGATTAATGCAGAGCCAGATATCATCTGGAACATTTGGGTGAACAAGTCCGGTGAAGGCAGCGCTCTCTTCAGCGTGGAATGAAGGGAGCATTGCTCGACGCGGGCTAAACAGTCACCCAGGGAGTGCTACTAACATCAACCATGCAAGAATCCAGCTCCCTCCAAGGCAGGTGCTGTCGCATGTCCTCCAAGCAGGGGAGCGGGAGGAGGCGTCCTACTCAAGGATGCAGCTACCAACGCTCACGGGCTCCATCCTGCACTGTTAGGCAAGATGCAGCTGGAGCAAGATCCCAGCTGCCTGGCACTGGTCTGATGGCCGATCCAGAGAAGGGAAACAGCTTTACACTGCGCCTCTCTCCTGCTCCTACCCCAGTGGGAGAGGGAACGTCGCCCCAACAAAGAGGGCAAAAGGCCAGGCTGGGAGGGTGCTAAAGACGAGCTCCCTGCCCGGTTCTCTATCCCCCCGGGGGCAGATGGTTCTATAACGCCGGGAACGTGCAACAAGCGCACCTAGGCGCCTCGGGCAGGTTGCGCGCAGCGACCGCATCCTGCCGGTGAGCCGGAGCAAAGGCTGCTGCAGCTGCTCCGGCGCAAAGTCCACCGCAAACGCCGCTCTCCGGCGCGGTGGCAGCCCAGGAGAAGCCATCCCGGGCCGCTCCGCTAACGCCACCAGCCCCGCCAGCCAGTCCCGGAGCCCGGCGGCGGCTCCACTTGCCGCCCTCGCCGCGGCGCGCCGGGGGATGGCGAGGGGCTGCAGCCCGCGCTGCGCCTCAGCGGCACCCGCAGCGCCAGCCCCCGGCAGCGCCCTGCGCTCCGCCTGCCGCGGGGACGCCTTGCGCTGCCCTCGCCCCCTTGCCAAGGCGCCCACTTACCCCTCGGCTCTGAGCGGGAGCGGGTCCCCCCCAGCCTGGCAGCCACCCGGGAGCCGACGCACGCAGGGAAGCCCAGCCACCGCGAGCCGGGCGCCGCCGCCCCGCCCCCGCTGGGCTGGCATTGGTGACCGCCCCGGCGCCCGCCCCCATAGGCTGAGCGGGGCGGGCCCCGCCCTGGCTCCCGTCGGGTGTGAGGTAATGAATTAGCGCGCCCAGAGCCGCTGCCTTAAATGGCTGGTTGCTGCCCGGCCCGCCGCGCCTGCTCTCTATCCCCTCGCGCGCCTCCCCGGCGCTGCTGCTGCGCCCGGGGCCCGGCGGCAGGTGCCCGGGCAGGTAGGGGGCAGGCAGCGAGCGGGAGGCCAATCACAGCGCCGCGGGGGCGGTGGCTCTGCTGCGGGAAGGCTGGAGCTCGGCGCCCCTGGCTGCGTTTTGCATCCTAGCCCTCGCATGGCATCGGCGCCCCCTGGCAGCAAGCCTAGCTGCTCCTGCAACCCCCACCCCCAAGTCTGTCCTTGCAGAGGGGGCCACGTTGCCCTGGGGCCGGCCAAATTCCTCGGCCTCGCTGGACCCTGGTTAGCCGCTGCTGCTCCCAGCGCCTTGGAAATCTGACCCTGGATGTTCCCAGAATCCCAGCACCGCAGGGACCTGGCCTCGGGAGCCTGGCCGAGTTTGGCCACAAATGCAGAAATGGTTCCATCAATCTCGAGAACAAGTGTTGCTTCTACTATTCCTCTGAAAATCACCAAACACCTTCCCTCTTCCCCCTCCCCCCCCAGCACATTTTGGTACCTGGAAGGTGGGAAAAGGGCTAATCTGGAGTTTGTGCCCTGGGGCCAGGATTTTTAAGATGCAGCAGAAGCAGCTAAACAAATTTAAGCAGTGGAAGTTATGCCATTAGGGCCAAAAATTGGCAGGATCCAGGTGCCACATCCTGGATTTTGTGGTACTGCTGTGCTGGAACACAGCAGGGGGTGACTACATTTGTTTTTTTCTTTTTGGCAGTACAGTTTGAGAACTTTGGTCTAAAATTTGGCAGGATCCAGGTAGACCTAGCCTGGACCTCTCTTCCTCACATTATGGGCACAGGGAACCTAGTCTCAGAGGCACTAGCTAGGGGTAAGGAGAGGTCATATATCACAGGTGTGATTAAACAACAAAGGTACTCAGGGAGGAGCACCCTGGAGCTGGAGCCCTTAAATGCAAAGGCAAGAAAAGGGGCAAGTGTAGAGGAAGTCTATATAATGAGGATACTCAGCCATATGATCCCTATAGAAATGCCATTGAATAGCAGAGAGATGGGATACAGAGAGCATCCTAGAAATCACCATTTGAAGGTGTTCTCTTAATGCTTAATAAAACCCCAGAAGACTGTGCACTGCTAATCAAAGTTCTCTTCCCTACCAGGCAGGTTGGCTGATAATTTTTCCAAGACTGCACTGTAGTTCCTTTAATAGACCAGTGACCAGACTCTGGGACAGGCAGGAGTTGAAGTAAGGTGTCCCGGGGGCGGGTTAGAACAGCTCTCCCTTATCTACTAAAATTTGGTTTGGGTAAGCAGTGCTGCCTCACAGCTCCAGCTCCCCTTCAGCTGGTACTGTGAGAGCTCCCCCTCCTGTTTCAATCTGCTTTAACCTCTGGGTATAGATTGCTAGAACTGGGACATAAAATGAGCCAGTAAACCCTCATTCTACTCTAAAAAGTTTTCTTCCACTTTTCAGAAGACTGAAAGTGGAACCTCAGGTCTAATAAAAGGGAGGTCATTATTCTTAGTAATGCTGAGAACCTGTTTTCAGAAGGGTTACAGCAAGGGAAGGTAATGCTATAGCAGTCAAGCCAGTAATTCTCTAGATCTGTGCCAGATCAGGACCTTATTAGCATCAAACCAGTCTCCCTCCTTTAGATTTTGTTACTTGATTGACTTTGTGGCTGATCCTATCCCTATTTCCAGTCAAGTGCCAGTATACCTGGTGTTCTGGTAAATTATATTTCTCTAATAGGACTTTCCACAGCATGCAGAGATCCGTGGCCTCAACTTCTAGGATCAACCATAGAAGTGTAGTGCTTGGGGCAGATTAAGCCCTGGCATAAATTAATGCCAGGTATGAATTTGATCCAGCCTATATACTTGAACCCCCATTAAGAACCCACTTTATTTCATTTTATCACAGTTGAGTAGTTCCTTGTCCTTGAAACCTTTTAAAACAAAAATAGGCTTACTTTTTGACCATACTTTGAAAACTCCTACCCACAAATATGAAGGATCCTAGGAGTTGCCATGCAAGATAACTTTCCTCCTTTCACAAAGCAAATCTTAAGTGTATATGCTATTGAAGGATGTACCACCAGACAGTTTTTAATTGAGGAAGATAGGTGAGTCATCAATAGGAGAGTGATCAAGCGTACCTCAAGACAAACGTGTTCTGCCAGTCTAATCCTTGCTAGCCCCCACTCCTCTCACAACCATCTAGCCAGATAGCAAGCTAACCCTCAAGGGACAGAAACCTTACAATAATATTAATAATAAAGTAGATAGAAGAGGGTTAAGGCTCTGTTCTCCTTCTTTAACCCAAATTTGCTAATCTGAACACTGATCTTCTGCCCCCTCCAAATAAACATAGAAAATTCCAGAAAATCCATTTCAAGGGATATCTCAAAGTTTGCTGCAATAAGTGATGTAATCATGAGATCATTTCCACACTAAACAGATTAAATCCTCCCATCCTTGAGGCCAGAAGATTAGACTATCTTTCTAAATCTAGAACTGTCAAAGGAAGCAGTTACATTTATTATTTAGTCCTTTAGATTTAGAATATAAGAAGGCTGCTATCCTAGGCTTTATGTGCCTTTGAAATTTCTTAAAATACTCAAATCAAAGCATAAAGATAAATCCAGCAGCAAACTCATGTATCTTTATTACGGTTTCCTGCAGCACCCATAATGTTAGCATCCAAATATGTTCCAGCTAAATTAAATCTACATGGTGAGGTCCCTAAAATGTCAGTGAGTTTTCTGTTCTCTCCTCGCTGCATAAGGTAGGAAGAATTCTTCCCTATTCAGGGAAGAATGTATTTCGTTAGTTTCATGCTAATTCTGGTGGAAATGCTTTGTCAAAGAGGGGGATCTTGCAGCAAGCCCTGAAAGTGGTCAGACTCTGGATTAGTCTGATCCCTTCTGGAAGTTTATTCCATAGCCAAAATCCCAAAAAATCTTTATTTCCATCTCTCACCATCTTCAGCCTGGGCTTTGTAAAATGCATTTTCCCAGAGGATCACAGCTGAGTTTGTAGGCCACAAATGTAGCTGGAGGATGAATGTTTTCTCTGATAAATCATTCATGGCCCTTGCACAAATCAAGATACCTGAACCTGATTGTTCATTGGTCTGACCTAGTATTTTAAATTCTTTTAAATTCTTTTCCTCTTCTAAATAATCTTTGGAAATATAAATGGCATGGGTAGGGAAATTTATAGTGAAGATTGCCTAAGTATTTCTATTCGAAAGGGTAATTTTCAGCTGCTTATAACTTTCTCCAAGTTTTCCCTTTACAGCTAAAATTTGTGATTTTGAGTCAGGGAGCAAATGTTTTTGTGCAAGTTCCATCAAAATGGTTGAGACATTTTAAATCACAGAGGAAGTGAAAAACAAATATGTAGTTCTTCTGCTAAGGAAATGTGTTGCAATCAGTTTCTGAAAATCTTCTAGCACCTCTGGCAATGGTAATATATACTTGAAAATTATCAGAAACAGTCCCTGGGTTTATGCATTTTTCACTGATCTGGTGAAAATTGGGTATGTTGTGGCCAAGTTGTAAGGATTTTTAAACATGAACTCTGGATTATGTTAAATGGTAAAACTAACAGTTTGCAATACACATGTAAACTGAATGGGAAACTGAATAGTGTCTGAGGCTTCCAGTAGATGTCAATGCATAACAAAATGGAATAGAATTACAGTTTTCGTAAGCAGGGGGATTTGGAGTATCAAAAGTACTTTATATTGGGACTGCAACTTCCTATGCCTTTGTACAGCAGCTAGCACAAGGAGGCCCTGCTCACAATTGGAACCTCAGTAGTACTGCAATGCAAATAAGTAATTACTTTTCATTAATAATAATTAAGGTGCATATGGGGGAGGTGGAGCTGTAAAGAAGTCCTGCCTTTTTTCCATGTGGTACAGAAAGGTGTGCATGGAATAATGTATAGGCTTCTGTCTCACTCATTGCACATATTGAGCAGTACAAAGCACAATAGTTGAACATGGTGGAATTTCTGGTTAGTCAATTTTCTTTTTAAAAATACGTTGGAATGTCCATACGAAAAATGACATTAAAAATAATGAAGCATGCAAAACTTAGAAATTGATAAAGTTAAAGTTGCCTGTGGAACTGTTGTCAGCCCTGATATGCATATGTATGACAACATAATCTTTACATGAATCTATGATCACATACTTTGTTGTTTGTTTCCTCAGAGACCCATCTAATTTACTGAGTACACTGGAAACAGAATGATGCACATTTGTGTAACTAATTAGTCTGGAGTCCATGACACCCGGGGCTGAGTGCACAAGTTGTGATGTGCACTGAGCAAGGCAGAGATCCTCTAGAAAAGAAAAGACAGTCTTGTGATTTAGACAATACCCTGGTATCAAGCAATCTGAATTCTAGTGCTGCATCTGCACATGCTTCCTTGAGCAAGTCACTAAGGCCTGGATCCGCTAAGGGGCTTAAGTGTTTTTCTCTCTGGCCCAGTGACTATTTAAGTAGCTGTCCACAGTGGAACAGCTTCACCAGGAGAGACTGACGAAGCCCCTCATCAGAATATCCCATAGTTCAGTGGTTAGAGCACTCTCCTGAGAGGTGGGAGACCGTTTTTTAAATCCTCTCTTCCCTCTATGCCAGAGAGGAGGGAATTGAACCTTGGCTTTCCACATCCCAGGCAAGTGTCCTAACCAGTTCGCTAAAACTTATAAGGTAGCTGCCACCACCACTACCTCCTCCTCCAACCGGATTTTGAATGGAACCTGATCCAGTAGGCGCCCACTGAGGATGCCTACCA